TAATACCTTTCAATGCTACTTTTTCAGAATCTATCAAATATATGGTACAAAACTTACTTTCAAAGATTACCTTAAATCCTTTGTCACATAGTTGACTTATGCTAAGGATATGCTTTAGCCCATTAACAAGAAGCACATCCTTAATCTCCAAAGTGTTTGCACCACCTATATTTCCAATTCCAAGAATCTTTCCTTTGTTGTTGTCCCCATAAGCTACATATCCTTGTTCTTTAGCTTTGAAACTCACAAATTTCGTTTTGTCTCCGATCATATGTTTAGAGCATCCACTATCAAGATACCACATAGACTTCTTTGATTTGGAAGTTTCCTACAAAACAAGAACATAGTAAACTTAGGTCCCCATAACTTTTGGGTCCTTGGGGTTAGAGACAAACAATTCATTTAACTAAAGGAACCCAAATATATTTTCCTTTAAGAACATCAAAATGTTTGATTTTACATCTATTTGAAGTATGACCATGTTTCATACAATAAAAACATGCTTTAGATGTAGCTCTTGAATATGATACATTTCTAACAATAGATGCTTTAGTTCCTTTTTCAACCCATATTCTTCTATTTTTCACTTTAGGCTTCTTCAAAGGAATATGATGGTTTTCTCTATTTTGAGCAATAACAACTTTATCCTTATTATTATTACTTTTTTCCTTCTTGGCTTTATCAAGCAAATGATTAAGTATATCAATGTCATATTCATACTCTTTACAAGATGCACATGCTATATTCTTATCATCTTTTTCATCTATACATACAATTTTCGTTTCTAAGGTTTCTTTTTCCTCTAAACATGCAATTTTCGTTTTTAAGGACTCCACCTTCTTTTTGGGTCTACTCAAACTCTTTTTCACAGCTTTGTATTCATTTTTCAAGTCCTTAAAGACATTAAACAATTCATTATATGCATTTTGCAGTTCATCAAAATTATTTTCATCATCACTTGAAGATGAGTCGCCTCAAAATCGGAAGATATATTGTCATTTGCCATTAAGCAAATATTAGCTTCTATTTCTGAATCACTTGACTCCGAACTCAAATCACTATTGTCCCAAGTGATGTAGGCTTTCTTTTTGAAGAACTTTTTGCCTTTGTTATCTTCATTTTTCTTGTTTGGACATTCGGTCTTCACATGTCCTGTTTCACCACAACCATAGCATTTGATATTTAAGGAAGTATTTTCTCTTACCTTTCCCTTACCTTTGAATGGATGCCTTCCTTTAGCTTTCATGAATTTGGTGAATTTCTTAATCATGAGACTCAATTCTTCTTCATCATTCTCCGAGTCTTCTTCTTCCTTTTTACTCTTACCTTTGGAAATTTCAGCTTTGAAGGCTAAGTTCCTCTTTTGGTGTTGACCTTCTTCATCATTTAGCCTTCCTAGTTCTAGCTCATGCTCTCTCAACTTTTAAAAGAGCGCCGCCATAGACATTGTGACAAGGTTTTGTGACTCCGAGATGGTCGTCACCTTAGGTTGTCATTTACTATCCAAAGATTTCAAGATTTTCACATTTAATTCATCAACATCAAAAATTTTACCTAATCCGGTGAGATGGTTCACAATGTGTGTGAAACACTTTTGAACGTCAAATATCGTTTCTCCTTGTTGCATTCGGAACATCTCATATTCTTGGATTAGAGAATTTTTCCGTGCTCTCTTAACGTCATCGGTACCTTCGTGGGTCACTCTCAACATTTCCCACATCTCTTGAGTACTTTTACAAACGGAGATCTTGTAAAACTCATCAATGGTTAACGCAAATGAAATAATATTTCTAGCCCTATCGTCAAATTGAACTTTTCTATTTTCCTCCAACGTTCATCTAGAAAATGGTTTAGGAACATCTACTCCGTTTTCAGAAACTTTAGGAATATAGGGACCATTTAAAATAGCGTCTCAAATGCCTCTATCAACAGACTCTAAAAAGATTTGCATTCTAACTTTTCAAAATGGATAATTTTGACCCGCAAAAAGTGGGGGTCTATTGATAGAAGCACCTTCGGCAAACATTTGATTTTGTCCGGCCATTTTCGAAAAATCTGAATGACTATCAAAGCAAGCTCTGATACCACTTGTTAGAATCGCGCAGCGGAATGTTTGCGTGAATGGACAAAAACCAAGAGGGGGAGTGAATTGGTTTCTTAACAAAAATTAGGTTTTAAAAATTTTCCCCAAATTTTACCGATTAAAAATCTGTGTAAACGTAAATAGAATAAGGATAGAGTTTTACATAGAAGATTTATACTAGTTCGGATCAAAAGACCCTACGTCCAGTTGTTAATCACTCAAACAGAATATTAACGTTGTCACTATAATCAAGGTTATACAAGCATATTACAAATGAAAAGATAAGGTAACGAAAACACCTCTCTTGAGTCACACAAGAGATGAAGAGCAACTTTCCCTAGAGACGACACAACACACAATCCACCAAGAACTCCACTTAATGATTCTTATCGCTTCTAGCCCACACTAGGTTCCAAAAGCCCCTTTTTCCTCCAACAAACAGTTCTCTAGCAATCACAACTCTCAACTTTTATTTGAAAAAGGTTGTTCACTTTGCAGAGAGTCTTAGAGAACCTTAAGTAGATGAATTAGGGTTTAGGAATTGGGGATTTTCGAAACCTGGTGTATTGGGACTAGGGTTTTCGAAACTTGGTCTAATTTTGAAGTTTAAAATGCATATATGACTGAGATAATCGATTATCTTGAGTGTTAATCGATTATTACAGAGCCAAAATCAACAGAAACTCATAACCACGCCAGTTAATCGATTATTTAGCCTGTTAATCGATTAACAGACCTGTTAATCGATTAACAGACCTGTTAATCGATTAACAGACCTGTTAATCGATTATTTTAGCTGTTAATCGATTATTCCAAAAAGCTGATACAGAAAATGGTTTTTCTCTCTATAATAATCGATTATTTGGCCTTTTAATCGATTAAACCAGTGTGTTTTTGATGAGTTTTTGAAGCTTCTAAAGAGTAGACTATGTGTTGGTTATCTTAGAATCTAATATTACAAACTCAAAATCATCAAAACAAAGTTTTTACACAAGAATACAAGTATTCAACTCTCTAAGTCCATTGTTCTTGAATCATCATTAAAATCAACAAGTTTCATGTTCATGTAAGTTCAACATTCATGTCCTTGTATGTTTCAACATGATTCAGATCTCAAGGTTATGAAAAAGTGATTGAAGACTACTTTAAAGTTCAAGTTTTTAATACTTGGCATCACATTTTCAAACCTTTTCATAAAGGTTCATAAAGATTCTCCCTTATCTTACTTAATCTTGACAATATAGTAAACCAACTTAATGCCACTTCTTTTGAAGAAGTGAGAAAAAATCAATAAAAATTACGTCTTTTACGATGTATATACTAACTTGTATTATATAATTGTTTATGCATTTATCTAAATTAATAATTTCGTCATATCTATCAATTATTAGATTCTTTCCTATATTGATAATAATATTTCCATCATTTCATTGATAAATGAGTGTAATATTTTCTAGTTTTAAATGTTAATTAAAATATTTTAAATATAATCTAACTCATTTAAAACCTAAAAAAAGAATTTAAGTTAACCTAATTAATGAAATATGTCAATTTGTCCGTTAATATAAAATAAAAATATAAAAATAAATTAAGGTATTATATATATATATATATATATATAATATTAAATAAATTTATTATAAATACAACATAATATATAAAAATACTCTTAATTGATTATTTTTTATTATTGATTCTCATTTATTAAAAAACCTTATACTTTTTAAAAAATAATATTAATTTGAATAGAAACAATCTAAAACACAATTCAAACGCGATGTAAACAATATATCATAACTATTTTTAAACCTTCATGTCTAAAACAAGTTAATGTTTCCAAACTTCAAAACACAATAATTATTTTTTATACTTTTTATCATTTTTTTTCAATTATACTCTTATTTAAAATCTCTCTATTTTACTTTACATTAATTACTCTTATTTTCACTATAACGTATACATAAAATAATTTTAACTTATGAATATTATTTTTTTATAAATGTTTACCAAGAACTTTACCCAAATATATTTAATATAGACTTTACGAAAACTAATTACATCATTTTATCATGATACTTTGCTTAGTAACTTTAGAATTTGAAATTTATTATTATTAGAATTAATTGAGCTAAGTAAAAAAAAATCAGAGTATTAATATATTAATAATGATTAAGGCAAATGATAATTTTACATTCGTTAAATATTATTTGATACATGTAGAATAACCTTATCTAGAAAAGAGACGTGGAAGATTGAGTAATATGATTCTAAAAGAAGGGCGATAACCTAGCTGGATCTTTCAAATAAGAAAGCACGGTGTGTAGACATCGATCTAACGGTTGAAATTAATACTCTTTTTCTTAGATGGATGAAGATTAAATAAATAAAATTTATTTTAAATATCAATTTATCATAAGTAAAAATGCATACGTAGGATGAAACCGAACACACGAAACTATTGAGGTCCATTGTTACAGTGGTCACTCCATTGATCATGTGTTGTTGTTGATCAATTGTCGAAGGAGAGAAGTTAAGGAGGGTTTGTTTTTTGGCATTGCAATTGATTAAAGGAAACAAGTTCGCTGAAACCATTCGACACAAATGGCCTCTTCTATCAGTCTTTCCGCTCCTTTCCACCGCCCTAGGTTTGTTTCACTTCTTCCCCAATCCAATTCTGCATACACCATTTCCCGTTTCCCCTTTATTTTTATTTTAACATACTTTACAAATATATGCATGTTTGTTCTCATTTACGTTCGTTTAGCATATATAACTTGAATTGAGATTGCCATAATTTTCAGTTCTGTTAATGGACGTCCATTTTGTGAATTTAATTGGCCATATTTGTGTGGATTCAATCAAGCATGTTTAATTTTCAGTTTTATATGCAGATGTTTTGTCTCATAATAAATTTTGGATGTCAAAACTGCTAATTGTGCCTTTTTTATGCTCTTCTGTTGAGTGCAGTGTAATCAGACAATTGAAATTGTTCACTGGGTTGCACAAGTTCTCACTCAATGGACATGGGTCGGATCTGGCCCTTGTCCAACTCAACTCCAGAGTCTCCAGTGCTACTTGTAGAATTAAAGCTACATTGACCTCTGGAGGAATGAGATCTTATAATGGCGTGGGAACTGAGCTGCAACGTGATGTCGTAGCATTTGGAATTCTGGGAACAGACACAGCAGTGCCAGCAGGCAGTGGTTTTTCTGATGGTGATGATGAGTATGACTTCGACAGTCCAACAGGAGGTTTCGCTTCCATACAGGAGGCCATCGAAGATATTAGGAATGGAAAGGTTGTTGCTTGCTCTGTTTATGGGGTCTGTCCTTTTTCTGTTTTAGAGAAGGGGAGGTTTATAGTGTGAAAAAGGTTTTGGTTTTTCATTTATGAACTAAATTTTTGCTTCAGATGGTAGTGGTCGTAGATGACGAGGATAGGGAAAATGAGGGAGACTTGATAATGTCTGCGGAGTTGGCTACACCTGAGGCCATGGCTTTCATTGTGAAGCATGGAACTGGGATAGTTTGCATAAGCATGAAGGAGGAAGATTTGGAGAGATTGGACCTTCCTTTGATGGTAAACAGTCAGTATAATGATGAGAAACTTCGCACAGCATTCACTGTGACAGTGGTATGTACAATTTGTTGCATGTATTATGTCTGTAGTTGTTCTGTATCTCTATGATGAATGTCTTCCTTTGTTAATATTAACTAAAATCACTACACTTCATTGCCTAATGAGATAGTCAACTTAGTTGTCAACTTTACAGAATGATTTGTCTTATCTGAAGCTACCCTTGGTTATGCCATGTAGTTGGTTAAGAATTCAGTGCAACTTCATTAAATTTGTATCTCCAAATATTTGAGGATCATTTAATCATTTACCAGCATGCATCGTGTTAACAAAGATTATTGAAATTGAATTCATGTTTGCTTCCCCATTAAAAACACACATAAAATTGAAATATTTTCACGTCCAAATGAATGAAAAAACTACAAAGGGAACCATGTATTGGTATATTAATCATATGGTATGTTATTTTTTTATCCTATTCAGGAAATTATTAATGTGTCTTTCTATAGTTAAACACTTTATCTTGTACTTGTAGGATGCTAAACATGGTACTACCACAGGAGTGTCAGCTCGTGATAGGGCTACAACAGTCTTGGCCCTTGCATCCAAAGATTCAAAACCAAGTGATTTCAACCGCCCAGGCCATATTTTCCCACTAATGTACAGGGAGGGTGGTGTGCTGAAGAGAGCTGGACATACAGAAGCTTCGGTTGATCTTGCCGTACTTGCTGGTTTGAATCCTGTGGCAGTTCTGTGTGAGATTGTGGATGACGATGGTTCAATGGCTAGATTACCTAAGCTCCGCCAGTTTGCAGAGCGTGAAAATTTAAAAATTGTATCTATTGCTGACTTAATAAGGTATGCGTTTATATTTCATGGAGCATTCACTAAATGCATATTTTTCATATCTCTTAAGTAAGCTTTCAGCTACTGAAGATATCATAATTTAAATACCCAAACTCGTCTTTCTGTTATACTTTTGACTTCTGAGGTCACTGCCAATCAATTACAATGATTACCTATGAATAATATTTGATTTAAATTTTTATTTTAATTTTCAGTCGGTGGCTATTTCAAATAAAATTATACAGACAGAAATTCTACATTGTTTATGTTCTTTTATATGTCCCTGAATTAGAATGTCATTGAACCATAAAAAAAATTACATGAACAATTAGAATTTTCTCAATGGCTTTTTTTTTTTTTATATTTCTTTTGTTCCGTACCTAATTCTCCCTTTCCTTGCTTTGCTGCCTGGATACTTTTCTTTGTATATTCAAGAGATTTACACTTATTTTTATTGCAGATTTAGAAGGAAGAGAGATAAACTAGTAGAGCCGGCTGGTTCTGCAGTAATACCAACAATGTGGGGGCCATTTACAGCAAACTGCTATAGGTCACTTTTAGATGGGATTGAGCATATTACGATGGTTAAGGTGAGCAATGCTTGTGTTTATGCTGAACTATTTTATGTAGCAACATATGTGAACATTGTTGATAGTTGGACTGAATATTTGAAATAAATAGACAACAAAAAAGATATGAAAATAGAAAGCATTCCAGTATTGTAGAACAACATGATTTAAAATCACCAGGCAGCTTTGTCTATGTCAATCATACAGCACTGCATATAACCTTTTTGCTATGCTGCAATCCAACCTTCGTTTTTTGAAAGGCTGATTGATTTGTCCAAATTTCTTTCTCTGAAAATTAAAATGACTTATGACTCATAAGTTATATTTAGCTTATTTCAATACGTGTCTTTGTGAGAATTATCAAAATACAAACTTTTTATATTATTAGTTTCATTGTTGAATTTATGGCGTAAGCTCTCATCTGAGACAGCTTATTAAATAAGTGCTTAATTTAACTATTTATCTTAACTATTGGATTAATGCCAAACTCTTAAAAGTATAGGGACCAAGGTGATAATTGAGGTAAACTTTAGGGATTAAAAATGTATGTAAGCCTATTATCATCTAAACTAACATTGTCATAGCATTTTTTTTCTATGGGGATAACTCAATGTTCAGCCTTATTTTTCATCATTTTGTCATCAAGATGTTTGCTGGTAAGTTTATAAGCCTGTAGCATTTGCAAAGTAGGTAACATTTTCAAATTATGTTGAACATTTTCTCCATGTTAGATTTTTAAATTGCTTGACTCAATAGTAAAATTTTACTCAATTTCGTGGTTTTGACTGTTTAACAGGGTGACATTGGGGATGGACATGATGTACTTGTGAGGGTACATTCGGAATGTCTCACGGGAGACATATTTGGATCTGCCAGATGTGACTGTGGAAATCAGCTTTCTCTTGCAATGCAACAAATTGAGGCTGCTGGTAGAGGTGTATTGGTCTATCTTCGTGGACATGAAGGAAGGGGCATTGGGTTGGGCCACAAACTTCGTGCCTATAACCTACAGGATGATGGACGGGACACTGTAGAAGCTAATGAGGAGTTGGGATTGCCTGTTGACTCAAGGGAGTATGGAATTGGTGCACAGGTAATTATAGTGAAATACTTTATGACTGGAAAATTGAATGTTATACCCTTGGGATTCTTTTACAGTCACTTCTTAGTTCATGGTAATTTACAATGGAGTTTAATTTCTATGCATTGAGGGTAAAAAGTTTTACTTTGTTAACTAATTAGAAATTATGGTAGATATGACTTTTAAAGTAGTTATTACAGAACTCAACAAATTTACTATATATATATATATATATATATATATCAATTTGTGATTGTAATGTAAAAATTTACAATGAGATGAAAGTTCATTGGCATGCTATATCTGATGCAACTCATAATTCATACCATTTACTTTTTGTATCGAGTCAAAAGTTTGGAACTTGAAATTGCATTTGCAGATTTTGAGGGACTTGGGTGTTCGTTCTATGAAGCTGATGACAAACAATCCAGCAAAATATGTGGGGCTCAAAGGTTATGGTTTGACAATTTCCGGTAGGATACCATTGTTATCTCTTATCACAAAAGAGAACAAGAGATACTTGGAGACCAAACGTGTGAAAATGGGTCACGTATATGGCTCGGAATTTAATAGCAAATTGAAGTATCCTGACAGTGGCAATGGTAAAGTCAACAGTGGTGATGATTCTAATGCTGCTCCTGGCTTATAAACCTGCCTTTTCTGCCAGATACACAATTTTACGTCACAAACAGCAAAGAGGATGTGATTTTCCTTGCTGCTCGTGATTTAATTTTTCTGATTCATTTGCCTGATTTTTCTTCTGGCAGACTATAAATTAGGCTTCGGCAAACATTTGTCACTCTGAAACTTTATCAAGTGACATGTAACGTATATCGTAGTCTCGTAGATGATGTATGAGAGCATTGTCTAGACAAATTTGAGGTTCACTTTCTTTTGTGTTCTGATATATAAAGGTGCGAGCTTTTGTTTAGTTTCATGTACAGTATTTTGTGCTTTTTGTACAGAGGTTTTCGTTATATGAAAGGTACAGTTTTTACACTGAGCTTTTGTTACCCTCTTCCCTCTTTGTTCCAAACCCAACCTCCATAAGCAAACCTTTTTTTTTTTTTAACCCTTTTTTCAAACTCTTCCATTTGTGGAACAACGTTCAGAACCTTATCCTCGGCTACCACTCCCATTGTTCTTTGAATATGATTCTACAACTAAGGTCATTAGATTTACATTAGTTTTAGATGTATAATATGCTGGAATCTGAAAGCTGATATCAGCTCAATACCCTTGAGTGTTGTATTTCTTTGTTAAGCCATAGACCTCCAATGATGCCTCCAAATTGTTTGATAAAATGAATTGGCTGACTAAGAAGTTGAGGCCAAGAGGTCTTATGGTTCAATGAACTGAAAATTTGAGGCCATGTGGTGAAGTTTTGTACATTGTATTATTTGAAACTAATTTTCAACTAGGTGTAAAAACAATTGCCAAGTTTAAAGCTACTTGCAGAAAAAAAAAAAAAAAAAAGGAAACAAATCCAAGCCCCAGCTCTAGGCATTTTCAATTTGAGAAAACAAAAACTGTTTTAAGATTAGTGAATGGAGCCTTTATATATGCTTACACTTCCTATGAACACTACTTATATATAACATTTAAATTCTGACTTGTATGATTTTTCTCATTCTTAACTTACGTGGTCTTGCATCTGTTTAATTTGTGATGCATGTGATGTTGCTAGACTTCTAAGTTTATTCAAACCTAGCTTTACCTTGCACTCCTGGTGAAAGGGGTTGTCCAACATGTAGAAGTTGGGCGCACTCCTTCTTGTGTGTTTTAAGAGTAAAAACCTTCATAATCTTAAAAAAAAAAAAAAAAAAACTATTTTAGACACAATGTGATTAATTAGAACTTAAAAGAAAATAAGTTTTCATTTGAATTTAAAGTGAATAACAATTTTTTATTATAAAAAAAGTTTAAGTAAATTGAGTCTTAGAAATAATGGAAATCCAAACTTACCTTCAGACTCGAAGAATATTTGTAAAAGTGCTTGAAGATTGTTCACTAACAAAGAGAAAGATTCAAAACTCATGTCATTATAAGATATAAATTAATTCTAATTTAAAAACAATATTATTTATTATGATTTAAAAAAAAAGCGTGTTCATATAAAAATGATCGTAAAATAATAACAAATTAAATTTCAAAAATGTAAATTTAAAAAAAGTTAATCTTGTGTGTGAAGACCAGTGTGTAATAAAAGAAGAGAATATAAAGAATGAGTTGGGCATTCTTTCGCAATGATAATGTTAAACCTAAGAAAACTCATTTTTCATCGATTATTCTACTTTATGTAGCATATAATAAATAATTATGTAAAAATGGAAGCTAAAATATTGGTTTTACTAATTGAACTGTCTTCTATAAACATAATCTTTAGTTTTGGTGATCAACTTAGTGGATAAAATCTGGTTTGACAGCATAATTTCATCTTGTTTCTAGTTTGGAATAATGGACATGTATAATCATGTGTTGGAATTTCTTTTTGCCGAGTTTCCGTTGAAGATTGTGAGAAGAAACTAGAGACAACTTTAATTATTAATTATTATCCTTGTCAAAAACAAAAGAGGTGGTCCCTGCCCATATTTTAGCCGATTCCGACTTTGTCCCCAAAACCAAACTACGCACAACAAAATTCACATGAATATGTTTTGCACCATCCTTTATTTCTTTTGACCGTTACCACTTTCCCTAATTAGCTTCCATCCAACGCTCACCGGTTCATCTCAACCTTCAAACTTCTAACCACGTGTACGCTCCTGATTCAAAAACACCTCTATCATCCTTTTCTCATATTTATTGATTAAAACTATCGAAAAATACAAACAATTAAAAAAAAATGTAATTACAAAATTTTGTAATTTGAAAAAATAGTTCACTAATAAAAAAATGTGTTTTCTTTGTTATTATTTTCCTTGTTTGCTGGCTGAAGGAATAGGTGCCGCGTGTTCAACCTGATAATGATTTAAACGCATCAACGGCTCGAAACGACTCACCTAAACGCGGTTACGCTTCTATAAATACCCCCTTATTGATTCTCTTCACAACACTCACATTCTCACTCTTTTCAGCTTATTTTCCCTGCTGTATTCAGATTAACGCTGCATAAACCTTGTTTTCGCACTCTTTCTTCTACAATGGCTACCACCACCGTTCTGTTCACGCTTTTCGCTGCATTGTTAGTTACCTCCGCCCTAGCTCAGTCTCCGGCGTCCTCGCCAGCTCTGTCTCCCAAGAGAACGCCCGTGGTCAAGTCGCCCAAGTCTCCGTCCCCCGCGGTTTCTCCCTCCGCCGAGTCGCCTTTGTCGTCTCCCCCTGCTCCGCTGGTGGGCGGTCCGTCTCCTTCGCCGGTTAGCGTCGACTCTCCGCCGTCGCCTCCCTCCGAGTCACCGGCCGGTGCTCCTTCTGTCACTCCTTCGGCAATCTCCTCTCCGCCGACCGAAGCACCGACTCCCTCGCAAAACGATGCCGCTTTGAACAGATTCACCGTTGCTGGATCTGCTGCTCTCGTGGGTTTCGCTGCGGCTTTGTTTATGTAGAGATAGTTTCGCGGAGTTTATCTTATGTTGTTGCCAATGTACTCGGGTCGTGAATTCTTCTTGTACTTCATTTTTGGTTGTTTTTCTTTTTTGTGTGAGGCTTCATTCTTTGGATTATTTCGTGTATTGTATTTATGACGAACATCATTACGAATGATTCATTTTTATTGTTCTTAGCTGTTCTCATTTTCATTCCGCTATTTGTAATTTTTTTGTGTCTTGAAGAAAAAATTGGGAGAAGAAAGAGTGAAGATGATTTTTGAAACAAAGAATTTAAAACACACACACACACACACACATCTTTTGCAATTTTTAGTTAAGATCACTTTCTATTTATCCAACCAAACCAAAAAAGGATTTTGTTTGTAGTCACTTACAACGGTAATATGATGTGATCTTTCTTTAAACACAAATTGAATGTCAAAGTTTTTTTTTTTTTTCTCTCTATTCTACCTCACATAACAATCAATTATTTGTCTACATTATTTTAGCCTAAAATATTGGGTATCAATAATCAATAATATTGTCACAAATAATATAATAAGAACGACAAATTGTAAGTGCAATGAATTAAGATTTGGGTTTTAGATTGCACCACGAATCCAAAAACAAGAGTGGGAAAGTAAGTGATGGTTGGTAAAGTTGTGTGAGAATCAAATCTAAAGTGGAAATGGGGGCTGTTGGGAGGAATCATATGCAATGAACTTCGTGGTTGATTTTCCTTTACTTTTCTTTTCTCTTTTCAAAGTTAAGTGGAAAATTTTGAATGAGACAATGTATACTTTGGAGGGCTAGTTCCTGACTTTTCACTCTTTTGACAGTGTAAGTCTGGCCTCAGTTTCACCCTCATTGTACCATAAAATAGATGCATTATTGAGGTTTGGTTGGTGACAGTCGAAAACACAAGGAAGATAAGGTCACATGTCGAAAGCAGGACATGTACTAGCATCTGATCATAGGACATTAGAAAGTGTCCCCACATCCATTCTTATGGGTGAAATTAACTATTTTACTAGGGCAAGGAATTTCTTTGGAGTTGACTATGAAGTGGAACAAAATCAAATATTCAAAAACCACATACATATATCATTCTTTAAAGTTAAAAAGAATTCTGAACTAAGGAACTCAATTAATGAACAGGCATATTCTGGGAGGGAAAAAGATAAAGATTGATGTTGAAGGTGTCACTGACATTGTAGCTTTCCTACGCGGCTGAAACGTGAAAAAAGCAATGAAGTACAAATATACTAATCTATGTCTGGTGTCGTCCATCACAATCATTTTGTTACCAACTTCAAGGAAATAAATACAACATTCCAACCCAACCCAACTAAGATCACTCACTTTCCTTCTTCCTATTTTCTTATTCACACTTCAATTAACACCCTCCTTTTCTTCACTCTATTATTATAATTAGAGGAGGTGGATGCTCTACACGACAGATTTTCGCATTGATATACAGTAAAATGATATATTATTAATAAATAATATAAAAATATAAAATATATAAAAAAAATCAAATTTATAAATATACAAATAAGTATATAATTATTAAATTTTAAAAATTTAAATCATAAATACTAATATAAAATAAAACAATAATCATTAAATTTTAGATGTTAAGATGATAAATGCAGTCGATGTTAAAAAAATTATTTAATAATATTATATAAAAAGTTGCAGCAAATATTAAAAATTAATTTTACAATGATAAATAGTTTAATTAATATCATTAATAAATAAAAATACGATTTATTAGTTTTAATTTTTTTAAAATAAATATGTAGTAACTTACTCACTTTTAGATATTTATTAAAACACCTTTTTAAAAAATACAATAGAAATACATAATTTAAAGGCAAATAATATTTTGGACTACGTACTAAACCTAACACTTAAAATTTGTACCATTTCACAAATAAACAGATTAATTTTACTCTTAATTTTTATAATGATAAAATGAAGAGAACAATTTACAACAACATAGATTAATCAACCAACAACAAAAAAGAATACAATATGCACATATTGCAGTACAGCAATAGAAACAATAACATTCTAGTAGTATCAATTTGGCATCAATTACTATGAGGTTACATCTTCACAATCTTGTCAATTACTGGTTCAACAAAGGCTTCTATATCATCCAGGTCATTCTTGAGTTCTTCAACCTGTGTTTCAATGATCGTTTGTATAATTGGTGAAGCCATGTGAGAAAACATCCAAATTTTGAAATGCTAAATAGTGATCAACAGTAATTAGTTTACCTTGTGTATGAATTGTTCAGTAAGCTGAGCATCATGTGCTACTTCTTTTGATGCACGTTCTACCACCAATGCTGCTTTTCTTAGTTTACCATCCTCAGGAAGCATCTCTGCTACATCTTCAGATACCTTTTCTGCTACGGTTGCCACTTTTTCTACCACTTTTGCAACCGCTTCAGCCTCTTCAACCACAAACTCTGCCTCTCCTGAATTCACATTTTTGTCCCCAAACTAAGTAAATTTGAAAAATTTAAGAAATTAGATTGTTTACTGAATATTTCATTTATATAAGATATTCATCTACCTTCTATTCTCTGTAGTTGCTTCCAGTAAGGTTTCCAGAAGGGTAGCAAGAGAGAAAGTACCATGCCTAACACCCATCTTAGCCTGCATGTTCATAACATAAGTACATCCACATTAAATGTTTGGCACAATTATTGTTTCCAATCATTGATTAGTACTCCCAACTTTATCTTAACTCTGGTAGATTTTTCAATAAAGCTTGGATCAATGTTTTGCAGCAGCAAGGGGTTTTAGTTTCATACCAATAAGAGAAGGAAAAACTTTTAGAAGCAGGTGCAGGTGCTTCAGATTGAAGCTTCACCTCCTTTATTCTGCAAGTAAAGGTCATAAACAACTTTCAGCGTGTAATAGTCAACAGAGAGATTAGAATTGATAGAAGATAAACGTTGTGGGGTATTATACCCTTTTGCATTAGTACTTGTGTTGTTGCTATTGGTGCCATAGAATTGCATCCTGTGAACTCTTTCAGTCCTAGCAGCTGACACAATCGGTCTGTTTCTCTGTAATCCAACATAGTTTGATTGGAATTTGCTGACTCGAACTGCATCAAGAACACCTCTGAATTTCAGAGTTATCCATGATGAGCTTCTAATTGACATATTGAAAGTATTTTCAATTTCTTCACAGAAGTTGGAATGTTAAGAGATGAAAGATCCTTGCTAAAGGTACTTCTTGGTTTAAAATAGCCAATTCAATTATGGGGATGCATGGCTTTTCCATTGGTATATACTTGTGAGATTGGTTAATCTTGCAGTCTTAAAACACTGGAAATGATAACAAATTAATAATTTGAACGTGTATTTGATTACTTGAAGCAAAGTTGTGGCCTAAGAAAGGGAAACGTACGCGAAGTGTTCTTGAATGTGTCATGCATGTTCCTTGTAAGTTAGTTCAACCTTAAGGCTTTGAAGTTAAAGTGTAATAATAATTTATTCTCCCTTTTGGCTTCAGTTGCTGAAAGTTTCCATTTTCTTTCGCAAGTAATTTTGGTACTCTAAACGTGTTTCTTCCTAAAACATATAACAAAGAAACATGAAATATTCTTCCTAAAAAGTGTTGAACACTTCAAACATGAAAGAAAAAAAATAAATTCTGGGTTGACCTGTGCTACAGGTATATGAACAAATTGGTTTAGGCTAAGAACGAAGCAAGACTTAGAGTATTTTTTATTGGAAATTTAACTCACTATTTTTATTGGAAGCTTCTATCTTGAACACTTTTATTCACAAAACGTTTAGATTCAAAATATTACTTAAAGAATTTAAGTTCAGTTTCAGACCAATGATAAATTAAAATTCCTCTTTCCTGTTACTCTTGTATCTAAATAAGATTCTTTTAATGATAAATTATTTTTTAATTATAATATTTTATTTTAATTTAAATATATAAATATTTTTTAAAAACAAATCAGTCTTTCACGTACCATTTTTAATTATATAAAATATAAAAATTCATATTATTGTTAAAAAAAACTTGTAATTTTTTTTTTACAATTTGACAACTTTTTATCGACCATAAACAATGTCTTACAAAATATAAGAAAGGAAACTTTTATGGTGTTCTAATATAAATGTAATTAGGAAATTTTACTCATAAGTATTTTTAGAAAAGAAAATAAAAACAAATAAAATTATTTTTAAATATATGTTATGAATTAATATAATTAATTTTGGTTACATTCATGAAATATTGTTTTTTTATTTGTAATTACCATAATTATATTTGTCAATAATTTAACTCTCTAGTTTTTTCTTCTAATATTTTTTAGAAATCTGAATCGAAATATAATTAATTACATTATTCAAAAAATTTGAAAATGATTTATTAAAGTAAGTAGAAGCATAGAATGTGGAGACTAATAAATAAAACTTATGTAGAAATAGTGAAGTGATGAACACTGTTATGAAAAATCAGTTAAAGTTAAAATTGGTGGCAGATTTTTCATTGGTTGTTACAGTGGACGTTACGATGCGAGTTTTTCGTTGTAGTCCATCACGATCGTTTTTCAGTGTTCCGAAATGGCACAACGAAATGAGCGTGGCGAAAATCGCGCCATAGATGCCACACTCCTTCGAAATGAAGAAGAAGCCTTGGGCAAAACAAACCCTCACACTTCAGGGGAACTTGCTTGCTTCAGTCCCATGCTTTCTATCTGCACCTTCAACGGTGCCACATCCTTATCTCTTCGCCGTGACGTAGCCACCAGCGAGAACAACTCGAGGTAATCATTCCAGAAAACTTGTTTTCTTTCAATAGTTTTGGATTATAAGAAGGTGAATTTGTGGAGTAATTTAAGTTGAATTAAGTCCCACATTGAATAAAAATGAAGTGGTATAACATATAAAGAAATATAACTCATAACCTAACATCTTAAGGTTTTTTTAATGAAAGTGTTGTCAATATCTTATTTAAGTTGGATTCATGTCTCATTGTTGTGTTTATCTCCTGTAAATCTCTTATGCAGTGACCAAGAAAGAGAGAATTGATAAAAAAGGAGATAGTGCTTAGACGGTCTCAAATGAAATTCGAAAAAAGGTTATGTGAAAAATGTGATAAGGAAACAAGTAAGAGATATTTTGTCTCTTTCATTGATGATTTCTCGAGAAAACGTGGGTTTATTTTTTGAAGGAGAAGTCATAAGTGTTTGAAACTTTCAAGAAATTCAAAGTGATAGTGTAAAAAGAAACAAGCAAAGTCATCAAAGTAGTATGATCTAACAGAGGAAACGAGTTCACTTCTGCTGAATTCAATAAATACTGCGAGGAACATGGGCCTATGGGCAAGTACCAAGTCAGCACAAGACAAAATTAGAAGATCGGAGCAAGAAGTGCATATTTATCGGGTATGATGAAAAATCTAAAGCATATAAATTGTTTGATCCTGTCAACAAGAAAGTGGTGGTGAGCCGAGATGTTCACGTGGAAAAAACAAAGCAATGGTGTTGGATTAACCCAGCTGAAGAATAAACTAGCTAGCTCGGAAATTGTTGTGCCTTCAACAACAATAACCACCGAGTCCTCAGATGAAGAAATTGAGCCACAATAGCCTAGGATGAGAAGTCTGCAGGAAATATACGACACTACAAATGAATTTCATGTTGTATGTCTTCCGGTCGATGCTAAAAACTTGAATTTTGAGAAAGCTGTCCAAGATGAGAAGTGGATAACAGCCATAGATGAGGAGATTGGGGTGATTGAATGCAACAAAACTTGAAAGCTGACTAACCTTCTTGAAGGAGCTCGACCCATTGGAGTAAAATGGGTGTACAAAAAGAAAATGAATGTTGAGGGAGAGGTTGAGCGTTATAAGGCTCGACTTGTATTGAAAGGCTATAGACAAAATGAGGGAATCGACTATGATGAAGTATTTGCTCTTGTCATGAGAATAAAGTCAATCCGACTTCTGATCTCATTAGCTGCTCAGAACCAATGGTTAATTCTGTAGATAGATGTGAAATCCGCCTTTCTAAATGGAGTGCTAAAGGAGGAGGTGTATGTCGAGCAACTACTCGGTACATGAGGAGAAGGGATGAGAAGAAGGTGCTGAGATTGAGAAAAACCCTCTACGGGCTGAAGTAGGCTCCTCGTGCTTGGAATGAGAAAATTGACAGGTATTTCAAGAAAAATGGGTACGAGCAATGTCCATACAAGCATGCATTGTACACAAAGAAATCAGAAAGGGATATGATGTTAGTCGCTCTCTATGTCAACAACCTCATATTCATCAGAAGCAACGCGAAGCTGATTAAAGAGTTCAAAAAGGTAATGAAGAAAGGGTTCGAGATGACAAACTTAGGCTTGATGAAATATTTTCTTGGCCTAGAAGTGAAACAGTCGAAGGAAGGGATTTTTATATCCCAAGAGAGGTACACGCTTGAAATTTTAAAGAAGTTTAAAATGGAGGACTGCAACCCGGGTTATACTCCAATGGAACCGAGCACTAAACTCTCAAAGTTTGATGGAGGAGAACAAGCTGATTCTGGGAGATATCGAAATTTAATCGGAAGTCCGAGGTACCTTACAAGCACGAGACCCGACTTAATGCTGAGTGTTGGGGTAACGAGCAGATACATGGAGAATACAAACTACACACATTGGAAGACCTTGAAGAGAATTCTGAGATATGTTCGAGGAACCCTATCACTGGGTCTTTTCTATTCAAAATCGAATGACTACCTACTAGTGGGTTACTCGGATAGTGATTGGTGTGGTGATGACCTAAAAAGTACTTCGGGTTATGTATTCCTACTCGGGAAAACGACTTTTACTTAGTTGTCAAAGAAGCAGCCCATTGTAACTCTGTCAACATGCGAGGTCGAGTATGTGGTAGCCTCTTGGAGTGTGTGTCATGCAATCTGACTTTCAAATCTACTAAGGCATCTGGGAGTGATCCGAGACGAAGGGATTGTAATCCAAGTTGATAACAAGTTGACGATCAAGTTGGCAAAGAACCCGGTTAATCACGAAAGGAGAAAGCACATCAACGTTCAATTTCATTTCATCTGAGAACAAGTTAGAGAAGGAAAGGTCGAGCTGGAGCATGTTGAAAGTCGAGCTCAAGCAACACCAAGCCACTGCCGACCACAATGCCAGAGAGTTGTAAAATGCTTATTAGAATGAGTGATGAGAAGAGTATTTAAGTTTAAGGGGGAGATTTGTTGTAAAACTTAAATTAGGAAGTTTATCTTTGTTGTTTGGTATTCCTAGAATAATATTAATAGTTTTAGGCATGAGTGATATAACCAAGAAATATGAGCGGCAAACCTATTTAATAGACATCATGATTTACTTTTGGCATTTGAAAAGACAAACATTTTGCCTATAAATACTTGTAACAATTCATTTGAAAAAAAAAGGAGCAAGAGAAACATAGAGATATTAAAAGAAAACAAAGTGTTGTCAACTTTTACTTTCTGCCTATTTGTTGCCAACAAGTGGTATCAGAGCCGAAGGTTGATCGCCAGTGTTTGAGAGTGATCTTTGTATCGAAAGTCTTCCTAACAAAGTGGGTTAGGTAAAGTGTGTCCCGTTAAAGTGAACGGTGGTACATGGAAGGACTACTAATGAGCTCGAGAGGATGTACCAATGTGAAGGGGACTCACACTTGAGGAAAAAATTATTGGGTAATCCAAGTGTGAGTTAAGTCTCACATTGGTACATCCCCTCGAGCTTATTAGAAAAAAAGTATAACAAAAAAATAAATGTGGGTTAGTGAGCTAACCCACCTAACCAACCAACGCGTAACTCACCATAAAGTGAGCTGGGTTAAACTTACCTATTTCCAACTTAGCCCGTGGTGAGTCAACTCGTGTAAGCCAGATTGACTCACTTTGACACCCCTACCCATGTACTGTGCTTCTGTGGTGTGCAACACTTTTCTCAAGTCGAGATATCTAACTAATTGTTATGCCACCTGATGTGAAAAACAAATCATGTATTACTATTTCTTGTGTCTAAACAACCTCTCAAATCTGCATAAAAATATCATTCTAAAATGACATCATTTTTGCATAAACATAATGCAGTTTTAAGTACCTTTCAAGCAGTGTAACAACCACTTGACAAATTCTCAATTCTTTCTTCCTAGATTAGACATGAAT